CCGATGGGCGCGCTCAGCGGCTCGGCCTCCTCCTTTTACCCCTGCTTCTGGCTTCGTCCCATCGTAGCTTAGTAAAGGAGGGAAATTGGGAAAGGAGAGGGTTTCCACTGAAAAGAAAAAAAAAAAATAAAAAAGAGGAGTTGTGAAAAGCCGGGGATGGAGGAGGGAACGGAAACATCCTTCTTTCAAGGAAAAGATGCTGTGGCTGCTGTTCTGGTTACCATACGCCAGGTAATAACACGAGGTGACTCAGTGCTTGGGAAATTAAGTTGGCTCTTTATTAAAAGCGTGTATTTAGGGAGGGAGTGAGGCGTCAGGGGAGTTCCTCCGTCGCCGTAGCAGAGGGAGTTGAGGCAGGCTGCCTGGCTCCTTAATGCTGCCAAGCGCAGAGTCCACAAGATGCTGGGACCCGCGCGGGCAGGCCCGTATCCTGCCTCAGCATCCTCTGAGGGATGCTCCCGGGAAAGCGCTGAGCATCTCTGGGAAGATGTTAAGAGCCTCCCTCAGCTCTCTCCCAGTCCAGTGGGAACTGGTGGATCTCTGCCAGTGGGAAATGCTCCAGCCCCAAGATTTTTGTCCCAGGAAAATAGCAAGAGACAGAAAGAGCAGCCGGGGACGCAAAGATATTTGAGAGCACAAACTGCAACCAAAAAGATGCCGTGCCAAACTCTGCCCTCGCCCTGGCCATACCCTTTAAAATGGCTTAGTGATGATGGGAACCTGCTGCTTCGAAGGGGAAATATAGAATATTTACGAAGTACCTTGCCTGTCGCTGCGGTGTGCTGGTAGCTTGGCCCTCCTTCGCTAGCTTGGAGCAAATCTTGGCTTTACAGAGCGTATCTGAAGGCAAAATTCAACGTACTGTGTTCTGTTCAAATTATACATCCCCCGCGCGGAAAGCTCGGTTACACACACAGGTAGGTACTGAAAAAAATGAACTGAAGAAGAAGGGAATTCCTTTCTTCTTCCACAAGTACTTCTGGCGTAGGTGGGAGGGATGGTGGGGATGTCTCCCAGGATGGAGACACAGTGATGCCCTCAGCAGGTTTCTAAGAAGTGACCATCAAAGCGTCACCGTGGTCATCAAGTGCTTAGATGCTCCGTCAGAGACTCCTGCAGGAAAAGAAATCCTTTAAATGGTTGGGTCAACAATCGTCCTGCCAGAGTCAGAGAGATCATTATTCTGGCCGGGCTACAGTTGAGTTGAAAGCAAATAGACCTCCTCTAAAATCCAAATAATAGACCTACTGTAGAAGCAAGGACTGGAGACAGACAAGGTCTTTATTCCCGTCCCGACAGAGCCTGAGCGACGGCTCTGCCCTCCTTCCCGAGCGTGGAGATGTCTGTCCGTGCCTGGGAGGCCCGGCGGCGTTGGACGTGGGGCTCCAGCGGTTCCCCCTCCACCCAAATCTTATGGGGTGAGATAGCCTGGCTGCAAAGCTAGAGAGAAACTGAGGTGATGGGACGTGGATGCGGCCAGCCGAGACATTTGCGGCAAAAGACAGACAGCACAAAGCTGTGAAGACTCTTTCCTTTATATATATGTGTGTGTGCATGTGTCTGTGTGTATATATATATAAAAAATCAAATTTCAGAGCAGGGTACCCAC